TATTATTGCATACTTATCACCAGGAGAGATACTCAAAATATCTAGAACCCTGACAGCACAGTGTTGATCACCCTGAACGGCTTTTGACCCTTCTCTCATCGCCACTGTGTCTATGTACCATCATCATGCCTACATCTCTGGATAGACAAGACTCCTATGAATATGGTAGGATAGATTTAACCTTCTGGGTTATTAATACTTTATGTAATAAATACATTTTTTAATGCAGAAAATACATCAAATCATTTTTTGGTAAAAATGTAAAAGCCAATAACTTAAAAATTAATTTTATGATGAATTCCATCGTGAGAAGCCACTACTAACTTACTTGCTTTGCAAATAATAGATTTGCTTAAATTAACACCTGCATTTTAGATGCTGATGTCAACTGACTGTGGACAATGGACTCAAATTTCTTCAATGGCTACTAAAAATAAATACACAAGAAAAACATTGTCTTGAAAACTTGGGAACTTCTGATGGTACTGACCATCTGTTTGGGAATATTTTAGTTACTTTTATTTTTAAATAATTATTCTTTCTCAAAGGTCCTATAGCTGAATTACCTTCCTTTTAAAAATAAGGGTAGCAAAAGTCACTGAAGTCAACTTCCAAATCTGCCCAAAGAGGATTCCTTCAAAACGTGCCTGTTTTCATTTAGATAGCCACAATCCAAAGCAGTTTTCAAACATATTTGTCCCATACACATCACAACTTTCCCTATACCCTATATTATAACACAAGGTTCCCTAGTAATTTGAAAGTGAAATCATAAAAAAGTATGAATTCCCACTGTAATCTATTTTATTTTTTTACATTTTCATGTAGCCCTGAATATATACATACAACTAAAGAGCGATGGTTTACCCAAAATGAACGATTTTTTTTTTGCGAATTCTCTAACCTACAGATGCCATTGTAAAAAGCCCACAGTATTTCAATTCTACTATTATAAATATTCATGCAGCAAAAATATCCACACACACACTCACAAAAAAGCCTCAGCCAATGGCTTATTTGTTTTAAGCACTCTTCATGCAGTGATGACAGAATCTTAATAACAGGATTTGACCCTACCTCCTAATTGTTCCAGGGATGGCTTCTTAGAAAGTTGAACCTTCATTTATAATTATGAAATCTTGTGAAATCTAAGCAGATAAATGAGGTCAAATTAGGACGCCATTGACAAAAGGAACCTAAAAGCGAATGTATTTGTCACCGGAACTAGGAACTCAAGATCAACACGGATCAAATGCTTCCTCTGTAAGCAGAATTAATCAGCCCTATAAATGCCCTAACATGGTACAAGGCAGTATTTCTTTTCAGGAAGTGACTTCCTGAAACTTTCTACTGAGACATATATTCCATCTTAACTTCAGTATGCTATTCAAAATTATCTTACAAAAAAGGGCACCATTAAAACATCTGACCCGATACCAAATTGTACAGTTACATTCTGCTTCCTTAAATTCACTGTATTTTAAGAATCCGGACACATTTTCTATCCTATACTGCGGCACAGTGATCTTAAACAAATGTGAACCCAATGTGGGCCATTTCAGCACTGGCTGGAATGATTCTGCACCTCTTACCTGTCTTAAAGGTGTTTGGGGGATAACTCCATATGAGCAGGGGCGCTTGGACCCTTCCTGAGAAGCATCACAGCAAAGTAATTTCTCATAACAACTTGCAGTTCTGGGCATAGAACAAGACCATTGTTGTGTGACCTGATTTCATTTCAGTGATTGCCCCAGCAAAGAATGACATCATCCTATTCTTTTTTCTTGATCTCTACTTGTGAATGTCCCCCATCCCCCACCCTCATCATAATTAAACCGCTTCCCCTCGCCAGAGGAATAGCTATTTTCCTCTTAACTTCCTGCCTGAATATATCATTATGGCAAGAGCAAAGGGTTTTCCTCGGGTTGGTCAACATCCCAGGAGTTTGCTTCCTCGCCATATCAGACAATGCGCTATTCTGTTGGCAGCCAAAGCACACTGACAAGGCCATCTGCTGGGACAGGTCTCAGACAGATGAGAATAGAGATGAGACAGCTAAAGATCGCACAGCCTGATGGGCACAATATTTCCCATCTCACTGGAGTTTGGTATTTTCTTTAAACACAAACTCATTGGCTTTGAGCATGTATTGTGTAAACAGATCCATGTAACTATGTGCGTATTCATGTGCAAATGTGAGTGCTTCTACATACTAAACACTTGTTTATCGCTTAGATGTGTATTGAAGACTCACATGTGAAAGTATTGTCTCAAACCGATGAAAGGCTGATGCAGGAGAAGACACTAGTTTAAAAACTGGCATTAGAATGCAGCCAAATTGAATAGCTGCATGAAGGAATATGTTGATTGTGTTTTTGGAGTGTTCTCTCTCTTACAGGGAAAAAGCGAAAGCAACTTATATGTCCCACATTCATGTAATGGAACACGATGCACAAATTTTAACGAACTTCGAAGACAATGCAGAGATTATAAACTGTTCTGATATAATGATAGGTAAGAAGAAAACAGAATAAAATTGTATGTTCTCCATGTTTCCAATTATGTAAAATATTAGGTAGTAGCCTATGAAATTGCTGTCTTTGCAGGTCAAACTTAGTCAAATAAAAGCAGTTTTCTATGATTCTACATACTATATATATTCATACAGAAAAGATCAATTGGATTGGGTTAAGTGTATGTTTTTTTGTTTAACTTTTAAAAAAAGTTCATATTTGGCAACCAATTATATGGTTTTACAAATACCTAATTTTAAATGAGTTGGTATTGTATGCAATAAATTGCCCTATTTAATGAGAAATGTTTAAAGATAAGTAAGGATAATCACAAAGGAAAAGAATCTGCTTTTTAGCACCCCAAAATTCAGCTCTTCATATTTTGCAGCAAGCTTTAAATACTTATTGGATACCAAGACAAGGATAATTTTAGCAGTTTTTAGGGCCCACATCTGATGTTGATTCCTTGAAAAGATGTAGTTTACTTTTACAGTCTATGGACAATTTTTAAAAAATAACTTAAATTTAGATTAATGTATTGAATTTAACTTAAATAATTAAAATAATACAAAAAAATAAATTGCCAGAGAGGCACGGCTAAGGCATGGTTATGATAAAACTTTCCATCCAAAACAGTCATCAATAGGACTAGGAAAGGTCTTAACTTCCACACAAACAACATAGTAGCTGTTCTAAGTTATCCCATCTGTGTGCACCAAACCCTGTCCAACAGTGCAATATTAGAATCCAGGAGGTACAATAACAGCATTCATATTTTGGCAGGTGTACTTCAAGCTGAAAACCAGGATTCACGAAAAATAGCAATGTGTTCCACAGGTGTGAACATTTTTTATGAGAACCCTCAGAATCTCCCCCAAGCTGTGAAATTTAATTGTATTTTGGTGTCATTACATGTGAATACAACCTCTCTCTTCCTGCAACAAGAGATAATCTTTTAGCAATCTGATAGAGAAGAGATGGTTGGCAGCTTCTGAGATTTGCTTATAATATGTGCTGGTTTTGTTTCTTGGGTTACGTATTTTGGAGGTGATGTCAAGTTCAATGATCTACAGGTAAACAGTTCTTTAAAGCTGGACAAATATTAAATGTAAGAACTTCATACCCAGATGACATGAACAGAGAGCCAATTAAAAGTCCACAGGGCAGCATTTTGAAACCCTAAGGTCCAGTAAAGTTGTCGTTGTGTTTGATAAACCTGACTGTCCAAGCACATACTAAAAGGATCCATTTGTTTTCACCAAATTTAGTAGATGGGAGGATTGTGGATATGTGAATACAGATGTGGTGGTGGGAAGTGATCAGCTGCTTATCTAAGCCAGCTCAAAAGATGGAGTTGGATGAGGTGTGGCAGAGATCTCTGAAGCTGGCAGCCAGTCACACAGTAAATTTGAATTTTCCAGCCCAACAATGGAAAAAGCAGATTGGAGCCAGCTTTCATAGGGAGTCCATAGATTTTTAAGAAATAAATGTCCTGTACATTAAATTTGAGCAAGCGACCCTCATTGATACAATAAATTATTTCTATTTTACCAAAATAAGGCTGTGCCAAGAAATAAAAAGGATATAATGCTTAGGGTGGTGAAATTACCTTTTAAAGGAAGAAAGTGTGAAATGAAATATTTCCAGCTAGATAATAAACAACATGGCATTCCAGAAAAGTGGCCTCTTCATAGCACAAAAGAAACTAAGACAGATGCTTTGGGAAATCAAGTCTTCAGTGACCTCTTGGGAAGATATAGGGTGACTTCCAGTATTAAGGGTTTTCCAGTCTCTTCTACTTAATTTTGAATGGTATGATACTAAAGACCAACCTCTTTCTTTCCCACAGAAAAACTGATTAGAGGTTCCCAAAGAAAATATTGTGGCAAACTCACTCAAGAAGATAAAGAACTCTTATGAAGTCCCAGTGCTGTTTATTGAACTTATTCCCAAACACACATCTTTTTTAGTTTCTGTTTTAGGATATTTTCCTCTCCTGTTTGGAGCTGTGAAGTAAGGACACAAAAGTTTCAACTGGTCTTCTCTTACTGTTGATGCAGTTTGTGTATATTGTGCAGTAGTAAGCCATTACTGGCGATACCCTATACTATTTATAGAAAAAGCTCTGGGAATCAGAAAAATTGCTGATGCTCTAATTTCATGTCAAGAAATTAATCCCAGTGTCCCATACAATTTATTAGCATATTATGATTAGATTCTTATTTTTCTTATTCTTCTGACATTTTTGAGGACTAATTTCATGACCTGGTTCTTCCACCTTTAAGGCCCATTTTCGCTCTCTCAGCCAAGAAGAATGATAATGCTACAGGAAGGTGCAGGACCATTGGTTCCTCAATTTGTGCCAGTTCTTACAATTCCCTATGTGGGCAACGTTCCCCTCTTCAATTGACACAGAGTGCTCAGGTGACCCTTGGTGACCCAATGAAGAGATAAACTTTCATATTAGTACCTTTGGAGATTTTCTGCTATTATTCTTCCTTGAAGAACCTGCATGCCATTTGCCAAGTTTTCCTTCTTTAGACGATGTCAGGGGGTCGTCAGCACCTACAGTGGGGGCGGGGGGAGCAAAAGAGCTGTCAGTTGCCTTTCACCAGCAATTCCTCCCATCTTTCAGACGCTGCCCTTTTGCAGCCTCAAAGGAGGATATCATTAGGAATAATATTCTCCAAATTTCACCCAGACTGATTTTCTATCAATCACTCGCAAGAGTCTTTGAAGCGTTGTGGGTGATTCAGTCTTTTTGTAGAAGTTTCTATTTTGACCCCTTCTTCATCAAGGGAAGACTTTCCATCAGATTCATTTCATATTATTCTTTGACTGGATTTCATAGAACCAATAAAGAAGAGTTTCTTTTTAAAAGTTTGCAAAGTGTTCCAAGTTTAAAAGTCGAGTGATGTCTAATTTCAGGTTATGAGACTTATTTTAAAGGAAAATGCGCTGAATCATAAAATCTCTCAAAGTTGCTGCAAGGTATTATTTGATGAGTAGTAAAGTAAGCATTTACAAGTGGTTGCATTTGTTAATATTCTTCATTTATGACGGTTGAAATATGTAAGTGACTAAAATAAATTTAGATGCTTTGAATAAAAGGAAACACCCATTTTAATGCATTAAGTATTTAATGAAGCAATCTTGCTGCCATAAATAACACATTTTAACAAACATACATTATATGTGTGTATATGATATATCAGATAGAAGAGGAAATAAATAAGATAGAATAGGAAAATGACACATCCTATTAAGAACTCAAAATTTCCTTTATATTTAAAAAATACTTCTCTTGCCCATGAAAATATTAATGTTTAATAAGGCATTTCATTTGGAGCTTTCTTACCTTTCCACTGGTGAATACAATTATATGTTGGTACACACAGAGGGGAATCTCAAGGGAATGGGTGCAGATTATTTCCCTCGATAGACCTCGAATCTCTTCTTGTTCTGAGCTGGCCTTGGTGGTTCAGGTTAAATGTGGGCAGTTCCAGGCCCTTTGCTCTGTTCTAGAAGCATCACTCCCACAGCAAGATCACAGCAGCAGTTCCTCCCTGGAGCTTGCCTGTTGCTGCAGTACTTATTTTCCTCCCACGCCTCCCTTATCATGTCTCTTTCCACTCTGAGAGCAGCTACACTTTGCCGCCACCAGTTTTACGCCACCCTCTGTAATCTAGCACGCCCCACCCGTTAGGCATTTAGACCACTCCCGTGTGCTTCTCATCCTGGGAGTTGGTGAGTTCTAGGAGAACTTTTCCATCCTGTTTCCATGTCTCTGATAATATCATAAATTATTATAAGCATCATGCAGATGTCCACTTTTTACATATGTTCTGGGAGGACATATAAGAGTTTATGCTTATAATTATGTGGACACCTTGTGATCTCCTGAAGTAAAAACTTACATTTGAACGTGATGTCAAAAGTATCTGGTTGTGGTCACGCTGACATAGACTAACGACAAAATAACACCATCTTTTCTGAGACTGTTCTGAATATGCTCCTGGGGGCAGCAGACTCCGGAATTAGATGCCTGAATTCCAGGCTACAGCATTCACTGGGTACATGACCTTGAGCAGTTAATTTCTCTATGCCTCAGTATCCTCCTCTGACAAATGTGGATTAAAAATAGTATGTAGCCCGTAAGGTTGATGTGAGGATTACATGAGAATATTCATGTAACAAATTTAGAAGAGTTCCTGGTACAATAAGTGTTCAATAAATGTTGGCAATCATTATTACTTGAGTTGAACAATTTTTTAACCAGTAATAAAGATACAACTTCTCTTGCATATTTGCAATCAAAAGACATTTTCATGGGATGGGATCAGTTTTCTTAAATTTTATAAATGGAGACTTTGATTTCTCATCATTAAAATGATAATATGTGGTAGACTAATGTAATAATTTAATTGTTACAGGGTATGGAAAAAGAACAGAGGCAACCTAAATATCTGCTTGATATGTGTAAGCATGTGAAAGTCAGATACATTCTGCTGTGTCATATGAAGTTTCCTTTATTCACCAGAATAAAGTGACAGAATGACTGAGTCATTACGGTTCTCAATTCCATAATCTCAATCCCAGCAGATGTACTGCCTGGAACCTTTCTTCTTTATAAGTCCCAATTGGTGCCAACAGTTTGCTAGAAATAGGCATAGTACTAAATACACAATAGAAATTTGTTTCACTGAAATATTTTTTGCCCAATTTCAGTAATGAATACTTGGTGAAAACAAATTTACTGTTTAGTTTCAACAAAAAAGCATCATATGGCAAATAAAATTAATAATATTAATTAGAATATTATTGATTTGTGGTTTTGTTTATATTTAATTAGCAACTTATTTTGGATTTTCAATGACATAAATACAGTCATGTGCCACATAACGACATTTCAGTCAACAGACTGCATATATGACAGTGGTCCAAGCAATAGGCTATACCATATGATATAGCCTAGATGTGCAGTAGTCGGCTATACCATCTAGGTATGTGTAAGTGCACTCTGTGATGTTTGCATAACAATGAAATCGAGTAATGACATATTTCTCAGAAAGTATCTCTGTCAAGTGACGCAAGACTGCATACTTACATAAATGGGTATTTATGGTTATACAAACATAAAGCAACTTATATCTAGGTCCTTTGGGTACTGATTTCACTAACATTTTATTAGATAATAATGCAACTCAATACTGGAGCGCCGCGGTCTACTGCTCAGGTTGACAAATGCTGTAGGGAGCACCCATCAGCCTGGCTTCCCCAGGGTCCCTCCCACAAGAGGCCCTCTCCGTGCTGTCATTCCTGCTGTTCTTTTCCTGGAAAGATCTTTTCTCTCCTTCACATAGTAAGATTCTAATCATCCCTCTGGGATCAGCTGAAATCCCACTTTCTGACAACCTTAATTTTCATTAATCTCTCACCAGAACTCCTACAACACTTAAAATCTGTGCCACACAATGCAGCGCTCAGTTATATAGTCTCCACCATTGTCACTGTGACCTACATGGGTGATGGTCTTGTCTCTCCAGTCAGGTTTCAAGATTCCTCAGACTGAGGGTTGTGTCTTGGGCTTTGTCTCCATCTTATACTCCAGTCACAACGTGGTCCCAGTAACTACCAGAAACGGTTGAGCATCGCTGTAAAGTACAGTCAGGACCTGAGTCCCATATTAATCGTTTGTTTATTTCAGTGTTTATTTAAGTTTTGGTTGCAAATATCTAATCTGAGATCCTGAATGGCTCCTCAGAGAAGAATAAATTGTTGGCCCACAGTCCTGAAGCTGGGCCACACAGACTTGAAGGGACCAGGGAACCAGTGACTTAGCTGTGGGTCATTTGGACCCTTTCTTTTTCTTAAGTCAGACCTACAATATTTTCTGTAAGCAATTACTCAGCACAAGACTCAGATATATTTATGTGTATGTGGAGAGAGAGAGAGAGAGAGAGAGCACTCTCATATGAGTCTCAGGTTTTCTATTCCTAAAATGAAAGAAAAAGGTAAGATTGCAAGATCTCCCAAATCCCTTCCTGCTCTAAAATTCTATAAAGTACTGGCGCATATGCCCATTAATTTGATATTAGGATCCCCAGATAAGTGTGAGTGTGTGCCAGAATTTCACCTGTTGATAATATGTTGGGAAGTTAAGCTTGATAGTTTAACAGCTGTACCTTAAAATTTTGGTTTGGCTTCTCTCTCTGTTAGCGTGTTATTGCATTTAGCACTTGTGAATCTATGCTATAAAGCAACTAGATGATTGAACTTAACTCTTTTAGCTTTTGCAGTTGTTCAGAAACTGAGCTGCATTTTCTGGCTCTCAAACTTCATAAACTCATCAGATTTTGCTACAGAGAAATGCCATTAAAATAACACTCCTCAATGGAAAACACTAGCATCATTCATAGTCACTGAAATGCTGAAACAGTAACTGATATTTTTAAACTGTGAATTGGAGGCATTTTTTATGCTGTACACATACACGCATTTAGACAGATGCGTAAGGTAAATGTTTATTTTTCATATGCAGTTGTCCCTTCTTTAATTGCCTCCTAAAAGTGGCTTTAGTCTTATTGCAGAAGAGCATTCTGCCCTTGCTCCCTTTGCCTTGGAAAGTAATAACCGGTTCCAAACTGCTTTCCCTAAGGAGTTGCTGGAAGGTCCAAAATGTCCTCATTAGAAAACTTGCAATGAACCACACAAATCTTGCCATTGTGGATAGTGCATGCATGTGGGACTATTACTTCATGCACAATGACATGAGATCAGAAAACATGTGAACAGGAAGCCAAACCCAAGAGAGAGTTGGGGGGCTTCCAGCTTTCCATGGAGCACAGAAATGGAGCAAAATCCAGCAATACTTTGGACTCAGGTGTCTGGGGGACTGCACAGCTGTGACCTATCCACTCTTCAAACATTATGTAGGCAAGCACAGTGGCTCAGGCAGCACTCGGTCTGGAGTAAATCATTGTGTCAGCAAACCTAAAAAGACTGTGGTGGGTGTAGCACTTTCTTGTGAAGCCAAGACTTTAAATAAATGCCTTGAGTAACCTAAATGTGAAATGGCCAGCACCATATAAGGAAGCTCAGTATATTCTTCATACTTTCAATTGTGCTAATGGGAATTCTCCCAAATATATCTTGCTTCCTTTTAAATAATAAATTTCCCCATGATGCAAACTCGTCTTATTCTAAAGTATATATTTGGCGATTATTTTGCATAGCTGAGATGTTAACAGTTCCTTTTTTGGGACTCTTTTTTTTTTATGGTGAAAGCATTTTAGCAAAAATAGAAACATTTTTTATCATTTCAAAAGTCAAACATGATATCTGAAATTTGATGAATTTTTAGGTGAGCCATCAGAAGAAGCTAGATGGAAGTCAGATTATAACCAAATACTACCTTTCTAAGAAGTGATAGGACTCTTTATATTTAGAGGTGGAAATAACTTCTTAAATCTGCTTTAAATGTGTTGATACAGTTCACCTACCAGAAAGAAATATTATATGACTTTGCAAGACTAGCCATGAAGTCTGGGGCTAAGCCCCTTTCG